AGACATTTGTTCGTGTGAGTAAACCCAACTCCCGGAGAGGAGATAACGTAATCGGACCGCCGACTCGTGTGGAATCTGTGTGCACGCCAGGAACGTACAAGTTAGCCGATGGGACGAAGGTGAATTCAAGACGGCTGCATGCAGCGCTTTCCCAACGTGCCATTGAACCGACGAACACACCTACAACACAGTGCTCGGTACAAACTAATACAAACTTACGACGTTCCGGTCACATACGCCGCTCTGTCTACCGATACGCTTTAACGGATACCACTACCTGACAATCATTCGAGGTGCTGACATTAAATTAGGCCACTCATGGACATGTAGGGTCTATATTTTTATGAACAGAGGGATGGACAATGTCGTGTTCGAATAATTTGCTTTGTTTTTACCCTCGATTCGCTTAGCCTGCGCACGCAACTATTTAGCACTCGTTGGCATATCATGCGATCTTACCTTTAATGGGTTGCAATGCCAACGTCGGTGGATGTAATTGTACTGCGCCTGTCTGCAGACAGTTTCCTACTTACCTACGTTCCGGTGCGGCTTTGGTCTACGGATTTTACGGGCTACAACACGTATAAACAAACGTAACGATCGTGCTTTTTGATCCTCATAGGTGTACAGATGGGATATAACGAAGCTAAAAGCAAATATATGCATGTGTTGACGAGTAGGGAAAGAAGTATAAAGATGTGATTTGTAGATATGTAATCCACAAGTGCTCAATCAGAATATTTATGGTGGCAGGAAATCAGATCGGCTTGTCCCCACCCTGTTAATCTTTCAACCTATATTATATACCGGTGGTTGATTGCAGGAACACTTGAAAGATGGCTAAACAAACCGCAAATAGACAACATTTTCGGAAACGGATGTAAACTTATATGGATGGAGGAATAAGGGTAAGATTTTCAGAAGCGTAAAACCATTGTTCCCCTTCATCCATCTCGTCAAAGAAGAAAGAATAAATAAATAAATATTTTATTAGAAGGTAGAAGTCACGATTAAACTCCACCCGAAAATCTGCCTCGACGGGGAATCGAACCCCGGTCCACGAATTTCCGCGCACGAAGCAGAAGTCACGTGTTAAATTCCGCACCCAATCGTCAGCCCTCGGTAGCTCAGTGGTAGAGCAACGGACCGGAAATTCGTGGACCGGGTTTCGATTCCCCGTCGAGGCAGATTTTCGTGTGGAGTTTAATCGTGACTTCTACCTTCTACGAAACTTATATTACTCACAAACATCCTTCAAATAATCTACCATCGCCCTTTGGACTTCGGATGGACAGTTACTTCGGTCCACTGGGAAGTGACGAGTGAGTGAGCCGATCTGCAACACCAGGACAGTTACTGTGAGCTCATTGGCAATACGTCGCGCACTAAGCAGAAGTCACGTGTTAAATTCCGCACCTAATCGTCAGCCCTCGGTAGCTCAGTGGTAGAGCAACGGACCGGAAATTCGTGGACCGGGTTTCGATTCCCCGTCGAGGCAGATTTTCGTGTGGAGTTTAATCGTGACTTCTACCTTCTACGAAACTTATATTACTCACAAACATCCTTCAAATAATCTACCATCGCCCTTTGGACTTCGGATGGACAGTTACTTCGGTCCACTGGGAAGTGACGAGTGAGTGAGCCGATCTGCAACACCAGGACAGTTACTGTGAGCTCATTGGCAATACGTCGCGCACTAAGCAGAAGTCACGTGTTAAATTCCGCACCTAATCGTCAGCCCTCGGTAGCTCAGTGGTAGAGCAACGGATCGGAAATTAGTGGACCGGGGTTCGATTCCCCGTCGAGGCAGTGTTTCGGGTGGAGTTTACTCGTGACTTCTACCTACTACGAAACTTACATTACTCACAAACATCCTTCAAATATTTTATTCTCGACAAAGCGAGACACGCCTTTTAGGCATGAGCAGCACATTGCAATATTGTACATGATAGCAGAATAAGCAGCACCCACAGCGGGAGTAGTACAGTGTAAAGACAGTAGTGTGGGCCCATATGGCCCAAAGGTTGTATGAAGTCTGTGTACACAGAGTGCGAGAGGTAGAGATAATAATCAGATCACTAATATGGTATGTTGATGAGGAACTGGTCCGATGCGGTCCCGTACGCAGTGTGGGTCAAATGAGTGAAGCATGAGGAAACGGCTGAAAAATACTTAAGAATAGTGGCATGTCACTAATCAAATATGTAGGCGTGTTCGTGCGAGAGCAGGTATATGAACAGAACTTGTAAATATGATATCGGTCAACTTGCCATTGTGTGTTAGGGGCGGTTACTTTATTGAGTGGCGAGTCACATCCGCCACGTCGCAGTGTTGTTAAACAGATTTTGCGGTTTTTTGTAGGGAAAACACTTGCCGGACGAAGACCCACCAAGTCCTGGAACACTGCCGGCTAGTGATATGATATTGACAAGATTGCAACTGACCGATTACCCGCGTGGATATTCGCAGTCACGAAACGCCAACTTGTTTCCCATGGCTTTGTAGTCGCCTTCGGAGTCGACTGCAATTGGTTGGAGCTGTTGAAGTCGGACGGCTCAGGTGACTTGTATTGAGTTGATTAGTTTTCTAGGTGCTTTAGTGTGTCAGGATTAAGAAGTGCGGGTTTTTTCTTTGTTGTTTATTGATTCCGTGCCCATGGGAGCGTCGCTGGTATGTCCACAGCGGTGTTCCGTGCAGGTAATGTTATCCTGTAGAACAAGGGAGAGAAGAAAAACGGCCCGAGAAAACTGCCAACAAAATTGAACAGGACTATGTAATCGTATAAATATAAATTTATGGTAAAGTTGTGCTGTTTGAAAGCAATGGAGTGATCGTATATGTTATGCATCATATCCGTAGTTTTGCGTTCAAGCACGAGACCCGATATTTGCTGAATGTGTGAGGAAGATGCTGGCCGAAGTGGCCTAGCGTACGCAAAAGTTGTCCTGTTTGGAAACCGTGAGTATCAGGTGTTGTTAACCGGTAAATGAGTGGAGGGAATCAGAAGAACATAGTGAGTGGTTTAATAAGCGCTTAAGATACAGGTTGATCGATCTGTTGACAGTGCTAGAGCTTATCGTTCGAACAGGTACGAGAGCCAGTGAAGTTATTACACCAGGTTTGAGACCCATGAAAGCAATAACGTAACATGTTCAGTAATCGGATGCTAAACAGCAGGGCGAAGGGGTGAGACGGAGTGTCAAATTTGTGACGAGATTGGGATTTATATACTACAACTGTAGCGAAAATACGGTTCAAAGCTAGCCCTAAAGGGACCTGGAATAGCGAAAAAAGATAGGGAATTCTACAGTGCAGCGAACAAGTCAAATATGCGACAGGAAAGGGTGATACTGGAAGTCGGGTTAGTTATGTGGAAGAAACTGCTTACTGAGAGGCCTTCAACTTTAATAGCAGAATGGAGAATGGCTTGAATACTACAGGTTTAGTTAGAACATGATTGTAGGGCCAGCGCTGAAGAGGATCTGGAATACCAGTATCTTGGGCGGCAGCCGCAAAGGATGTTAGGTGTGCCACTCTGATGTGCACGTCCACGGTGGAACGTTAAAGTCAAATAGACTGCTAGATATAACTCACAAATTGATGAGTTGCTGGCAGCCTGCTAAGTTAGTATACGGGAGCGGCACGCTTTATTAGGCTCAGCATAGTCTGATAGGTGTCCAGTGTGGAACACAAGAGAGAGAACAGACAGCAATACTTGCGACAGCTGTAGAGAGAAAACGACGGTGGTGCCGGCTCCGGAAGTGACCAAGGGTAAGGGAATGCTACAGACAGCACCGCCAATTGCTACGTTTTCACCCCAAGATTTGCGATGGCCAGAGGAGGTGCCGAAAAAGTATACAATAGAGTATGGTTAAACATAGGAATGGAGGAGACCAGGAGAAGTTCAAGTGCTCAGCATCTGGCGTTGGTGGCCTTGGTTTGAGACCCATAGGCCTTTGGAGCCTGAGAGGCCGGACTGGTCCAAAAGGTTTAAGAATCAGAGGCACGGTTGGAAAGATAATCAAACGAGGCCTAGGATGTTGCGCTGATGCTATGGGTACCTATACGGCCATTGAACCGTTGCGAAATGGACCAGAAAAGGGGCCAAACAAGAGAGGGGACGTAATTGGGTGCTGAGAAGCATGATAGTGGAGCCGAGAGGCCGTATGTCAACATTTCGATTGCGACTGATGAGAACAATCGAAATATTGACATTGTTAACGCGGTTACAATGCGGATACAAAGTAACCATAACTTATGACTGTGTGTGACATCCCAAGTACATGAACCTAAGCAAGAATATAACCATGGATATATGCGATATCAGATGTATCAAGGATCATTGTGTATACAAATTGAATGAAGTGAGGCGGCAGTTGCTCGGCAAGAGTAAGCTTGCCACACACCTAAAAGAAAACGTTGTAACTCGGGACAAACGCCGTTGTCCCACTGCTGATTTAAACAGCAATTGAAAGTACCGTAGCCCAACTTGACACCCAACTGAGAAGCATTGAAGGAGATGGTTAGTGGACATAATGTAATGCTGATATTTAAGACTCATCCGCCTAATAAGCATCATAAAGCAGGCGAATTCTGCAACAAGTTCAGTAGGTGTGCATGTAAAACCTGACAACCTTCCTAAGATAAACTTAGCATTATACTTCGGCTTCGCTTTGGTGCACGGCCATGCCATTGACCATGGCCAAACCATGGGCACTTGTATAATGCTTGCATAACTTATCACAGGCGATGGGACTTCTTTAACTTCCACTTGCAGCACAAAAGGCAAGCCATTTTTCGTTTACAAATCAGGGGCAATTATACGCAACAGATGTTTAAAAGCAAGTTATAAAGCATATTAAAATTATATTAACGGATACTTTTAGATAAATGCAACGGGACAAGACACAATGCATCAGAATGCCCTGAGCTTTCGTGTACGCGATGTTGGAGGTCACTTTTTTGATGACCTAGAAAACATTTGAACCACTGTGATTTTCATGGCCCAACGTCTCCTCCAGTCCTTTCGACGGTTGCCTGGTAATTTTGCCACTGTAAAGAAAAAGGCAGAGTTATCCGAAGTTCATGGAAGCTCCTACAAAATAAATGTTGTACGTTTCTTTATCATGATTTACTCGTGTTTTTCAGTGTGCGGATTTCGGATTCCCTTCGAAGCCCACTTCCATCGCCTACGACTCCACCTTAGACTTACTCGCTTTGTTGACAAGAGACGGAAATCTGTCTGTGTATCCTATTCTTTATATGTTTTCACGGAGCTTTGCGTATGGTATCATTGTGTAGTCATTTATTCTGTTTATTCGTTGTTGTTTTCCGTTCTCCGGTTTTCGTCACTAAGGGATGCTCTGTTTTCGCATGTTTTTCAGCCATACTATGGTCATTATTTATACGCACATTTATGCCCACCATACTACTTCTTTCTGCATAAGTTCCGTCCTCTCCAAACGTTTAGCTCCATGAATTATCTGTATTTAGTATCCAGTCTTATTGCAAGTTCGTTTATCTTAGTTCGTTCATGTTGGATGGTCTTGTCAGTGCTCAAGTCCCGCTCGATTTCTAATCAGTACAGCAACAATATTTGATCGCTGGGTCTTATGAGTACATCCTAGTCTTGTTATGTGTAATCAGTTTGTTACTTTTGAGGAACGCCAGAGCCCGTTCCCTCAAAAGCTTAGGTGCTTTACTAAATTTACGCCTGACGCATTTAGAGAATGCTACCCTAGTGGAATTAGTATTTTAACGTTTAGACTGACACTAATCTTGTCCCCTCAGCAACACTTGTTGTTATCGTCCCACAATTTTTGAAATGTTACAAAATAAGTGCTACGCTTAAGATCAACGCCATTGCTACCGATATTTCTTTTTAGCAACAATGCACATGTTGAAGTTGGTCTCAGCGCTCAACTTCAGTCGTTGCACGCTAGCTGAATGTGAAAGACATGCTTCAGCCACTGTGCCGCAATACAAGATGATAATATATAGAGAAACGAGTTACTGAACATTACAGAGTACAAAAGGACTAGCAAAATGAGAACATAATACTGTGTTTTCGCACGCTTATAGTGGTCGTGTTTCGAGTGTGAAGCTAAGTGCGTAGGCGATAGATAATGCAACTCAAGTCTATCTAAAACTTGATGACACCTTGAAGGACCGACTTTGATGACGTTCGAGTTTCATTATCCATCGCCTACGCACTTAGCTTCTCTCTCGAAACACGACCACTCTAAACGTAAGACAAGACAGTATTAAGTTCTCGTTTTTCTAGTCCTTTTCGTGTTCGTCATCATTTTGACCCCGGCCCCATTGTCGTGGCACCAGTAGATGCGAACTTCTTAGTGGGGAACTTCATTCCTACTGACAAAGTCATCGATTTATCTCCTACTCCCTTCTCTTCGGACTCCCGGCGCGCAATTAACACAAATCGCGGTAGTCAGCTTCCTGGCATGCTCAACACGTGGCCCAACCATCGGAGCCTGTTGCATGGTATAATGGTGCTGAGCAGTTCACTCGTTCTTCATACACTAAGACCAGAGGAAAAATATCATGATCCGAAATTCTATTAGTAAACTTTTATTTACTATTATGATTTGCGCCGCATAAACCATAAAACATATTCACTATTCAAATGATCGCTCCCGCTTATCGGGCCATGTACTGTTTATCGGTAAATATACATATTTAAATTTATTTATATTGCAGAACACGCTCGTTACTCACGAGGTGTTTCCATCAAACATGAGCCAAAATGCGAAGGCAACAATTGTCTAACGCAACAAACCTCTTTATGTCGATTTTATATGCCAGTTTTCGCATCCGCACCGTAGAGTTGGATGGATGTCTATACTATAAACCTATTTTGGTTGCAGCCTTTTGTTTTTAGTCCGGTGCGCGATTATCATGATTTTCCTACAACGGTGCGAGACCGTAGCCATCACCCGCTAATCTGCTATAAGCCATATCAAGCCGGACACTCTAGCTGTTAAAGTGCAACTCCGCCACAACCCAACTGCTGTCGATCACGTCCGCAGGTGCACCACATCTTACATCGAAATTCTTCGAGAAACTGTTCTTTGTCCTTCAAGTTTGTTGTTAGTTCTCGTGCGATACTGCACCACTCGCGAGCCGCATATGCTCTCCACCACTTTGTCATTCAAAGTTTAGACGTGGGAGCTTTCTGACAAAACCACTCCCGAACAGACTTTCTGAGATTGTTTTTTTACTCTTAGAACTCATTTTCTAGTACACCATCCCCTTGCGTTTCTGGTTTTCAATCTTATCATCTTAAACGCTGATCAACCAACTATACTAACCATGCTAACAATGCTGCTAAGTTCTTTGCCAAATCAATGGTTTCGTTTTACTTGTGGCTAATTGGAGCGAATCGATTAGTGGCAATACTCAAAAAGGGCAGTCGCACAGACTGTGCGAACCACAGGCGTGTTAGCCTAACGCCAGTTGTGACAAAATTACTGGCCTCGATTATCGTTCGTCGCCTCACTGTAGAACGGGAATCTCGGATTAGGGAAGAGCAGGCCGGTTTTCGCCCAGGACGTGGCTGTATAGATCATATATTTACTTTGCGGCAGGTGCTAGAGCAGCGCCACGCAGACCGACAATAGCTGTGTTCCTCGATTTCAAGAATGCGTTCGATTCAGTCGGTCGACGGGTTCTGTTCGAAATACTTGCGCGAAAAGGTGTTCCCACGAAATATGTGAACATCCTTCGTGCTCTATACTCGAACACTACAGGCCGCGTCAGGGTCTATGGTGTCCTATCGGATAGCTTTTCGACTACAAGTGGCGTTCGTCAGGGTTGTCCGATTTCCCCGTTTTTGTTCAATTTCGTCGTGGATTCTATCATGGAGTGTTCCCTTGCGGAATCCAACGATGTAGGCGTTGAAGTGCTACCTGGTGAAAGGTTAGTTGACCTAGATTATGCGGACGATATCGTCTTGCTTTTCGACAATTTTGCGGCGGCACAATCAACGCTGGATAGCCTGTCCAGAGTGGTCCCATTATTTGGTATGCACTTCGCACCTTCAAAGTGCAAAGTGTTGCTGCAGGACCACCAGCCACTTGATGACCCGTTGACGCTTGCTAACGAGGAACTCGAGGTGGTTGATCAATTCACTTATCTTGGCAGCTGCATCAGCAATGATGGGCGCATAGAAACTGACGTGAGCTCACGCATTGCAAAGGCCAGAGCTGCCTTCTTGAACCTGCGGCATCTTTGGCGACAGAAGGGAGTTTCCCTCCGTCTGAAAGGCCGTGTATACAAGGCCACAGTGAGGGTCGTTCTGCTCTATGGTAGTGAAACTTGGCCCCTTCGGTCTGAGATCTGAGGCGTCTTCAAGTCTTTGATGATCGTTGTCTGCGAAGCATTGCTGGTCTCGGATGGCACCAGCGTGTTCGCAACGATGATGTGCGTAGGCGAGTACTAGGTGGTGATAATCATACTAACTCCCTAGAACAACAGATAGCACTGAATAAGTTGCGTGGGCTCGCGCACGTGCTACGTATGCCTGGTCACCGCTTACCTAGGAGGGCCTTGTTCAGTCTCCCTGGTGTAGGATGCCGCAAGGCTCGAGGTGGACAGAAGTTGACTTGGCAGCGAGAAATGAAGTCACTGACAACCAAACTGGGTGCCGTTGGTCCGTCGCGTCTTCCAGGCTGGAGTCCATGTGACTCGCCTTGTGCTTGGCTCGAGACTTTGCAGGACATGGCTCGCAACCGACACCAGTGGCGCGTCTGCTGCCGTCTTCTAATCGGATTGCCTGTTTAAAGTATGTTTGGTGCTGAGTTATCTGCGGGGTAACGGCTGATTATGACGCGTGGCACTGAAAGCCGCAAGGAAGCTGTCTCGCCGATGCCGCCTTATCTTTGCACGATAGCCAGCTGTTTGTGCCGGTATGTTGTCTAAACAAGGTGTAGGCGCCTTGACCCTGAATGTTTGCTTAGGGCATTAAGGTTTTCAGGTAAGTCCCCCTTTCTCTCCCTCTTCCTATTATTTATTTCATAGGCCTTCATGGTTGTATGGCAGCGAAGCATCAGTTCCAATGGCTGATGTACTGCTGTTGATGATGATGATGATGATTGTGGTCTTTCAGCAGCCACGATCGGTTTCGGATTCCTCGTAGGCGACGCTCTCGTTCCGTACCCTGAAGCACAAGAAGACAAATTTCCTGTTTCAGCCGCAATAATCTTGTCCGGAATTCTGCTATGGGACGTACACACTTACCGTCCACATCGACATTTTATCCTTTGCTCACTTTACTGACTACGTTGGTGCCGCTGTCACCAGTGTGAGTAACGAGCGTGTTCGACGCCTTGTTTATGGCACAGGAAAAGGAACTGAATCGCTCAGCACCGTTATTTCACGCATCAGGCTCCGATGGCTCGGCCACGTGTTACGCATGCCAGCTCACCGACTTCCGCGACGTGTGTTGTTTGCGCGCCGGGGGTGTGGATGGAAGAAGAGGAGGGGTGGCCAAGCGATGACTTGGTCCAGAGGAATGAAGACCCTCACTTCGAAGCTGGCCTCAGTTGGAGCGTCTCGGCTCCCTGGTTGGGGTCCGAAAGACGATGAACACGTTTGGTTGGACACACTTGCTGATATGGCAAGGAGCCGACCTCAGTGGCGTTCGTGCTGTGAGTTTCTTTGTTCCACCCCATCCCTCTTAGCCTCCCCTTCGAACCACGATCTCATTACTTAGCCTTATATAATTTTGCATAATAATTTTTTTTGGGTGCACAGCAGCCGGCTGGTAGCTTACCGGAACGATGCCCATCCATTACCGGTAGCTCAGCCAGCTTTCACCAGTTGTTTTTTTCTCTCTCCTTTTTTTCTTTGTATTGCGGCACTAGCTGAGGTGTTTCCCACCTCTAGCTAACGTGTATGATGATGATGATGATGATGCTGTCACCAGCAATAAGGGAAACGTTTTATTGGAAGGGGATATATATATATATATATATATGTATGCATATATATATATATATATATATATATATGGTTGGCGGCATCCGGTTTCGGATTTGCCTGTCACTGTGGCAAGCCACAGGACGCCTGCGCCTACAGAGGGACCATGGATTGCTTGCGCTGCACCACCCACAGCTCCAACCACACACCCCATATCCAGTGTAAACCCGAAGGAATAAGACCAGGAGGCATGCGGATGGGAATCACGTTTCATCAACGGAGCCGGCCCACACTCCTTCACAGGCAAACA